CCTATCCCGAGTGCTGACGTTTACCGTAGGGTTCTCTGTCGCAAAAAGCACTTACCATTCAAAACCAAAAGCACTTTAATAAGAAAATGAAGTTCTCTTTGTGTTGAACTAAAGAGAGAGGATTGAGTGTAGTCTTCTTCCTCTCCGAGTGTCAGGATACTCACTGTAGTGTGTGTGGTCTTGACGCTCGTCTTTCAATACGAAGACGCCTCGTTCGCCACACCCTTTTATAACAAAAAAGCTTTGAGACAATGAATTGGGTACTACCCGTAGGGGTTACTATCCGAGGACCTGTCTCGCCCCCTAAAAAACAATCCAATCAATCAAACGTGACTTCTTGCCCCGCGTGGCGAAAACAAATCAATCTTTCAAAAGGATATGTTACGTCCGTTCTACCGCAAACAGGTAATGCCTAAGTCTCCAACGAGCGAGCAGCAAAACACCTAACTGCTAGAATGCGCACGATAGCATCATCCATAAAAAACATCAACACACCGTAGGCCGAACTACGGCTGCTCTGATTCTTTACTTCGTTCAAGTAAAGATACGTAGGCACAAGGGCCACAATCCTTGCCGAGCATATTCCTCCCATATCTGTAGTTCCCCGAACTACGTCGACTCTGACTTTCTCATATCTGTTGAGAATACGTAGGCCTAGGACCGCGAAGTCCTACCGAGTCCGTTCTATCTCCTTTCTTTCCCTCGTCACCCCTTGTTTCCCGTTTCTAAACCTTTCCCTTAACCCTTTTGAAACACACTTCTTATAGCATAATGTTTAAGCAAATATAATCACACATCGACAAACAAAAGGTTCCCATCGAGTACGATGGATGCGAGGGGTGCTAATACCTTCCCCTTGCATAACCGGCTTCCGAACCCGTTCTTGGTTGCGAGACCATCTTATCCATTTCTTTCTTAAGGTTTTCTCGATATTTTCCTTTCCCCTCGTGGGATAAATAAAGTTCGGTGGCGACTCTTCTGTCTATCTCTTTCGCCTCCCCGTCGTTGCGCGATGCATTTTTCGAGTAGCGACAGCTGATAAGGAGGGAAAAAAGTTATACAATTCTGACTGTGAGATACGGGGAAAGCAACCCTAAGGCCTCAAAATCGAAGAGAAAGGGACGAAAAAACCTCAAGTATTACTTGCGATTTATCATTTATAATTTTACCAAACATAACTAATTGATCCTCTTTTTTTAGGGGACAACCACAATTGAATGAGAATGTGGTGGACAAATTAAAAGGTATTCAATATTCGACTGCCACTAAAACTTATTCTCTTATTCATTAGTGGGCTCTTATTGATTCTAGTATTGCATATGTTCATCCAGATACCAAGAAAAGTGGTGAGGTTGTGGGCACTTACAAAGAGCCAAATCCTAAAGTGAAAGTCGATGTCAACTAATTATCTTCCAGAGGATTGAATAATTCGATGACACCCTAGCCTTTTTTCAGGACAATTTGTTCTATGACGATCCACAAACGATATAGTGCTTCGAGAAAGCGGATGAAGAGCAAGTCAAACATGGTGTCGAGGATGTTTCACTAGAGAGGGATGGTCAGTATAAAGTTATCAGGGGGAATTAGGATTCGTCCATCATCTAAGATTCTTCCTCCAACACTTCTCTTAGTCAAGAAGAAATTTTGGCCATCAAAAGGAAAAATCCTAAAGAGGCCTTAAGAAGGCTTCAAAAATTGTGTAGGCTTTTGACTGGCATAAGATCTTCAAATTCTTCTAATGCTTCTTTGGCTGGTGAAAGTGAAGGCTCTGTGAACCTCCTGATCCAATAATTCAAAGCTAACATATTCAAATTCGAGCTCCTCAATGCTATCGAAGGAGACACTTAACTTGGCACTAATATTCAGAAGTTGTTGGATGAAATTAACATGCAAAGAATCCCAAATTCCATGACTCAATTTCTATTTGATTTTGAAGCTTATTTCGATAAGGTCTTCCGAGATGTCTACCTCAAATGAACCTATACCACTCAACTTTAGCAACAAAAAAAAAGAAATGACTGCAATTTAGGACCTAAGTTGAGCCTCTGGAAAAGAGGTCGACAAACTTGAGAATCAACTTCAAGAATATCTGGAAAAAAAGGCTTCCTTAGATGATCAAATTTCAAGCCGTCGTACTCGAATTTCTGAATGGAACAAAAAGATTACAAATCTGGAGTAACAAAAAGCTGAGCTTGAATTGGACAGACCATTGCCCACCAGGGAGATTATTGATCAAGAAGCTACCAGATGCGTTGAACATGGTGAAGTTGCTCTCCGACTAGGGAATGAGGTTGATATCTTAGAAGAAGCTAGTGAGCGACTAAACTCCAGACTTGCATTTTCCAAGGCCAAACTCGAAGACTTTAAGTCTAGATTTCATGCTTAAGCATGTTCTGGATTTTCAAATTATTGGATTGTAATTTTCACTTGTAATGACTGCCATTTTGGTGTCTTTTGAACACCACTTTGGTTTGTTTTAAATATTTGATTACTATTCCGTTGAAAAACGGGTGGATTCCTTTGTTCGACACCCACGAGTATCTGTTGTTCGATAACTTAAGGCACAAACTGTTGATCTTTGTTCGCTATGTTTTCCTCGTTGATTATTCCTACATTTTGATTTGGCCTCACCATATGGGGTCAAACTTGACCCTGAAGGGAGCCAAAGAAATCAATGATTCTGGACATTTAAGTCACTAACTGCTGATAACTATGATTCATATTCTGAATCAAAGGATTAAACACGACGCTTATTCTCCGGGTGAGCATGTTAACCATTTCATGGTTACTCTCGTCCATATGTTATCTCATAACCATCATAAAATTTGTGGCCACTAGTGGTATCACTGGAGGGACGAATCCTGCCCCCTAGTTATGACTGCAAATTTTGACTGGGATTGCTTATAGCAGACCCTGATGCCAATTGAGGATTAACTGATGGAAACACAGTTGCGTTATCTGCATTTGGAGAAAATTTCTCGTGCAAACCTGCAGTGTCGCTGTTGGTATACCATATGGTTGCTCTCGACCAAACATAGGTAATGTTAGACATGGGCCATAAGGTCTAAAGTCACTTTCCATATATTGTGTAATCCTTGGTGATATGGGGATACACTATTAACAAGGGAATTATTGCCCCATCTTATGCAATCGAAGGTGCAGCCGTCGTACTTATTATTGAGGCGCTTGCTCTAGTCAAAGGTGCAACGATCGTGCCTCCGCCCGTAGAACCAGGTGGTCGTTCTTCATTAGTATTGGAATTTCTAGGATTTTCCATTCTAACGTATATTTTTCTAGTTGGAACAAGAACTTCCTTATTGATTATTTTACCACTTCTCAATCTCATACACAAAGCATTGAAAAGTTTAATGAATGAAGAACTTTGATTAGACAAATGTCTGAATGAGTAAAGAAAAAAGAACAAAAATTTCGCACAAAAAGAGTCTCACCAGGTGTGCCAATTTGTTTATTGTGAAATTTGGTAAACAAAGGCAAGTTTGATTTTACTTAAAGGATTAAACTCGAAAATATCCCGTGACGGATTTGTACCAAAATTATATGTTTTGAGAGATTTTAACAATGAACATCAAGAACATCGAATGTAAAAGTAATGTAGTAAAGTAAATGAATAAAAGGGAAAAGTTAAAGGAAAATGTTAACTTTATAAATTGAACGCAAGTACATGCATTGAAAACTCGTTTCTCACTTTCACACTTGAATATTTTGAGTGTGTAATGTGTAAAATTTCGGCCCTTTAAAACTATAAACAACATTGCTTATATACTAGTCCTAACATAAACTGTCTACAACGGTCGACTTAGCAAAACTTGACACGTCTTCGTCTTCATGCATCTTTTGTCTTTGACAAATCTCCACGTGTCCCCGAATAATTATATGAACTTATCCAAGTTTCTTTGATTAAAACATGATAGTCACATCAACTAACAACCCCAAATTTCATTAAGTCTTTTATTACCAGAATCTTCAAAGGATTTTTCGATTAGCTTCTCAATCCCCTTCGACAAAAAATTCTCTTTAAGTGATTAGATGGTCTTTTAGTAAAAAATGACCACTTCAATTTTGGGTGAAAATTTTAAATTTCCACTATAATCAAATTCGATCATGAATCTTCACACTTATTGCCTATGTCGAAAATATAAAGTTACAAAAATCTGATATATTTAAACTGCATAATTTATGAAATAATACGATATTAAATTTTCACATGTAAATTAAAAACCTTTTTCTATTTACTAAATTTACATTTCAAATTTTTCGTGATAATGTTACTCTAATTAAATAAAGTACATATACATGTGTTTCTAAAACTCTTTTTCCTCCTCATAAATGAAATACATGTGTTTCTAAAACTCTTCTTCCTCTTCATCTTATCATTTAAATACTTTCGTTACATACTTAAATAAAAAAGTTTAAAGGATACGCACATGTAAAAATGAATTAATAAACATAATTTGATGAATAGGTCAATAATAGAGCTTATCCAACAAATTCTAAAACTAAAATCATAAATATAAATCCTCTTATCGGTCAAGATCATAAATCATTATTCAAGCAAAGCAAGTACAGTTAATGTTTATCCATTAACTAATCATAAAAAAACGAAATATCTTAGATGATTCCAAATTCCCAATCAAAGCAACGTTTAATACTATTATAGAGATAACGGGATTACACCAACATCATTACTACTAATAACATCCAATCTTGACTTTTAACTCCAATAACCTTCAACTTGTATTGCCACTAACACGCAAATCACAAGTCCCTCTCCTACTCCTCACCATAATTTTTTTTTCCTTTCTTTTTCATATCCTACCTCCACCATATTATATATTCCTCATTTTCAAACTACAAATAAATTAATAAATTATTATTTTCCTATATAAAAACCCACCACTCCTTCCCCTCTCCACACTTTCATTTCTATATAACATTTTTCTTCCTACAACCCTTCAAAACAATCACAAACTCTCACTTCAATGGATTTTTCTGATTCAACAAACTCACCCATCGCCAACATCCATCCAGACATAATCCAATCTCACATCCTTTCCCGACTGGACGGCACATCTCTCACCTCCGCCGCCTCCACCGCTTCCCACCTCAACAGTCTCTGCACCGAAAACCACCTCTGGCAAAAAATCACCACCGCCACTTGGCCTTCTCTCAATGATCCTTTTGCCACGTCACTCATCTCCACCTTCCCATCATCCCACCGTTCAATTTTCTCCGACTCATTCCCTTCCGTCGATTACTGCTCTCCCTCAATCTCAACCGTATCATCATCCTCATCGCCCACAGGAGAATTAATCTCCGCCGTAGATTTATACTACAAGGGCAAATCTGTCTTTTCGAAAATACACCGCACAGAAACTCATAAAGGATGGTTCTTATGTTCACCTTTATGGATTGAAATTCTTGATTCAAATGAAATTATTCAGACACCGATAAAATTCGAGGAAAACGACGTCGTGGAGTGGCTTGAAGAAAATCTAACTTTAAGCTGGATTATGATTGAACCGACATGTAAGCGTTCGGTGAACTTGTCTAGCCGGTTACCGGTAACCGTGAGACGCCACTGGCTGACAGGGGAGCTTGAGGTTTTATACGCTGTGGTTTTGGGATTAGTGCAGTGCACGATAAAGGTCACGTGCTGTGGGAAAGCTGGGGGAGAGATGCACGTGAGAGAGGTGAGTTTTAGTATGGAGGATATGGATGGAAGACACGTAGTTGGGAGGGATAGTTTGGTAATTTTGCAAGGGGCTATGGAAAACGGGGAGAGAAAGAAGTTGGATGTTGAGGAATCGAAGAAAAGGTTTGAGGAATTCGGTTTGATGAAGAGAGAGAGGAGAGAGAGAAAATTGAGGAGAGAGAAAGCAATGGATATGTTTACTATGTTGGTCGCTATCGTCATTTTTGCTTTTCTTTTTCGGTTTGTGAGGTTTTGGGTTTGAGTTTGACCCAAATTAAGTTCACTTGCTCTTTTATTTTAATTTTTTAATTTTTCTTGTACAGAAGCAAAAAGCTTTATGAAAATAACAGAGAAAGTAAAAAAAAGAAGTCTTGTAAGAGAAAGGGAACATCATACAACATAACAATATACGTGTATCTATGATAAATTAAAGTAAGTTGATTCATTTCTTCTTTTGATTGGTATATCATGTTTAAACAAAATTAAAGGTAATGTTATATGGTAAAAGAGACATTGGTTCAATTCGATAATTTAGTTTGGAAGTGGAATGTTTATTGGAATAATGTGTTGGATATCAATATGGTTGGGTGGGAAAGAGAACATTGTGATGTAATATTAGATGTGTCTATTCAAACCGACCTGATAGATTTTGTTATTTCAAAACATGCATAAAATTATTTTTATGATATATATTAAAAACAAAAGTTAATGTTAATTAATTTCATCATAAGTATAACGTTTCAATAATTTTAGATTTTTTTTTTAATTTTTATATCCATCATAGGATTTTTTTCTAGTAATGATAGAAATATAGTCCATATAATAGTTAAATTTTCATCAGTTCAAATTTGTTAAATTTAATATCTTTTTCGTTATCAATTGAAGGTGAACGATAATAAAATTTCACAATTCTTTGATTGTCTAGAGTATAAATTTTTTAGTATTGATTTTAAAACTACAAAACGTACGATTTCTAAAAACCTAAATTGCACCTAAATTGCGATTGAAGTAATATATGCATATTGAGACATTTTATGTTTGTTGTGTATGTTTATGTCAACAAGTATAGTAGGACCCATATTTCATGGTTAGAAAATCAATATTTAGTGTCATCAAAAATTCGATGCTAGAAGCCTAAATTATAGTGGCAATGTTCTAACCAGTATTTAGTGTCACCCAAAATTCGACGCTAGAAGCCTAAATTATAGTGGCAATGAAAACAGTTGTCTATTTTGGCAATGTTCTAACCAGTATTTAGTGTCACCCAAAATTCGACGCTAAAAGCCTAAATTATAGTGGCAATGAAACTGATGTTAAATTGAGGCCAACGCTATAAAAAAACTAAAAAGTCAAATGATTATGATAGTCTCAGATGAATCCACGCTAAATTCAAATACAAAAAATACCTCTACTTTTATAAAAAAATAGAGGAATGTCATTCATATAGGATCGTTTGTTTTAACTTATAAAAATGAATTATTTTTTTTTCAAAAATAAATTTTGTAAAGAAATATTTTTAAAAAATTACTAGTTTTTCTATATTTTTTTTTAAAAAAATTACAATACTAATTTTGATATCGTACAACATAAATATACATTATTAAAGATCAAAATATAGTCGAAATCACAATTTTTGAAAAAAATTGTATCTCAAAAATAATTTTTATGAAAAACTATTTGAAATAACTTCTAAAATAAGTGATTTTTTTAAAATTTTAATATCTAAATTTTTTTTGATAAAATGATAAAATATCTAAAATAACATTTCAAGAATAACTATTCAAAGCAAATTTTTATTTGAAACTTTTATAAAAAAATTTTTTGTAAATTTTTTTTTTCACAAAATAATGTTACATTATAAAAATTATTTTTTTTTTAAAAATAAAATAAATGGCCCCATAATTTAGAAAGACCATATATAAAATAGTATAGTTATACTACTATATCAAGTGTTCCAAGTCAGTATATTCAAAATACACTATTTAACACTAATTATTTTGGTGAAGTGTTACATTGATATGCCATTATTTTAGCCAAATTAACCCCTATGTACATGTACATACTAGTTAATAGACTAATAGGTAGTATGTTTGGTGGCTGGGTGGAGGTCCAAAGAAGTAATAAGCCGTGAAACCTTGTGACTAGAAGATAGGTTTGGAAAGCTCAAGGTAGGAAGGGAGTGCTTGACGATGGGAGCAATACTACAAGTTTCTTCTTCACGAAATTTCTTGAACAGTTTGAAGCAAAAAATATATTTGAGGTTTTCAAATAACATGGTTTAGTGGTAGAAGTCTTCATCCCATAAAAAAGAGACAAAAGAGGAAAACACATATTTGTGCGGTTTAAGAATGTAACGGATGCAAGGAAGAAGATCTTTACAAATGTCCCTCGATTTCAGAGAGAAGTTAACAAGGGTGTTGTGGATACTGATACACTTATTAAGGAGGTAGACAAGGGAACTTAGAGAAGAACAAGTCTCAATAGGGGGTACTCGAGGCCCCCATTTAAGGCTAGACGTTATTATGCGCAAGTGGTGGATAGTAGGATTGTTGGAAGAGAAGATAGCATTAACAACAACTGGCGGGTCTTGTTGGGTGGAAAACCTAACTTTGGTCATTTAATGTTTAATGTGGAGAAGAAAGAGCTTAGTAGGTTTGTAAAAGCATTTGTCAGGGTGGTGGAAAAGTCAGGATCTATGTATGATGTTCAGGTAGCTCTGCATGCTGAAGGTTACTTTCAGATTAATGCTACATCGCTGGGTGCAAATCTGTGTCTGATAGAAGAAGGGGTTGATGGTGTGATCGAGAATATAGTTAAGGAAGATAAGGCTTGGGTATCTCGTTGGCTCTCTAACATTCATCCATGGTCTCCCAATGACGTGGATAATGAGAGACTCACCTAGATACGACGTTATGGTCTCCCTTTTCATGTTTGGTGTGATAAGTTTTACAAATTTATTGATGGTAGAATTGGTGCTTTCATGAGAGCTAGTGAGGAAACGGAAAAGCATTTGAGGTTGGATGTAGCTAGAATTTTAGTTAGAATAAAATTTTCTATTAACCTCAATGAAGTCTTTAATATTGAGGTTAATGATAATATTTACATAATAAAGCTTGTGGAGGAATCACATGATCCCATGATGAATATTAACCAAATTGTTAATGAGACTGATAGTGGTTCTGAAGAATACAATTCTGATGGTGAGGGTAGTGAATCAGAAGGCACGATGGAGGCCAATGATGGTGAAATGCTAGATGAATATATGAAGGTTGGACCGAAATGTGTGAGGGCAAAACCTCATATATAGATGTGCTCGTTTCGATGATGTCAAAACTCAGCTCCATATAGAAATATATGTTGGACACTGTCACCATGTCATATTTGCATGTCTTGTCTCTCATAATTCAAATACTCGTAAAAATCATGATTGTTGCATATATAGATGGCCAAATCTGTGTGTCATATAGGGTTGACTTAGTTGGTGTTGTTTGCCATACTATAGGTTTCATCAAATATGTCATAATGCATGAAAATAAGCATTTTTGCCTATTTTAGGGTTTTGAGCCGACCCAAAACCTGCTCCGGTCGACTCACACAACAAGTCATTTTAATGAATTAGTCTCAGGAGGGCTCGCGTCGACCCTCCGTTTGACTCATACTGTGACCATTTCCATTTAGCTAAAACTGCATGTTGTGCATTGACGCATGCTATGCACCGGTCGATGCATAGTCCCGATTTCTGCACAATCTTGAGTTCAGGTAAGCTCAGGTCGACCCCCTCTACTGCATAGGTCGATCGCTCGCTGTTTTCTGTAAAAAATATGTTATGTCAACTGCTTTTATGAGTTTGTTTTGGTTGTTATGTCAGTTATGTTTGGTATATAATGCTCTTTCATTTCACGATAACTAAGAAAACAAGAAAAGTGAAATTACGTGTCGATTTGGTTCTCGTCATCTTCATTCTCGTTATAGCATTTCACAACAATTACACATAATCATTTTTGTTGTTCATTGTGCATGTTCGAGGTGATAACGTCCAAAGCCAAAGATTGGTTTTATTTGGTTTGGGTTGAGTAATCGACAGGTTTTTCTTGAATAAAACCGTTAGGGTTTTGTCCTCCAAGAATCTCAGATTTTGGGGTTTTTTGCACGATTCGTTCCATCACATATTCAGCCGAGTGAAGGTAATCGAAGAGCTGGAGGTTCTGTCGGTTTAGTAGCGGTAAATGGAGGATTGTGAGTGGGAGATTCGGGTTTGACACGTGGGTGACTGAAATTACCCGGGCCAAATTTTGAAGTCCAAGGGTTGTTCAAAGAGAGTGCCGTAATCGGAGGTTTATTCACCGCGTTCGAAGTACTTAATTCAACTTGAATCAAGGGGAAAGAAGAAATAGATTCTACAAAAACAAATTGTGTTCGATTGTTTGATCCTTATTTGCTTCTTGTATAAACATTTACCAACAGGTTATATCTATCTATATACAGGTCTCAATTCTATTGTTAGAATTGAGGGCAGATGTACCCCGAGCGAGGACGACGGGGGAACTGCCTCAAAAAATCGTTGTGTCTTTTTCTTTACGCTTATATTGCTATATTTCTGAGCTTTTAGTGCAAACGATTATATCAATCAAATTCTGATTTGAGTTGTGCTGAACTATTTGTTAATCCAATTACAATCATTAATTGTAAGAGAAAATTTGAGCACTCAACTCTCAAAACAGAATTCACTTGTACTGCTCTGCACTCCAAGTGATTGATCAATTGTGTGAACTAAAATATCTTGTGCTGTCTTTTCAAATTGTCAATATTTTAAAGACATTGGAACTAGTCACACCTTATAGTGAACATAATCAAATTGAAAATGTGATTGAAGTAGTTATTCTCATATCTCGTTTATCAGATTCCATAGGCTTTATGCATATCCGGTCTTCTAGTAACCGTTCATTTTAGACGTGTATAGTTCCTCGGCCGCTTCCGTCTTAAACAAATTTTAAAAACCAATTTTTGGTAGCGCCGACTATGTTTTAAACAAGCGATCTATTCAACCCCCTTCTAGATCTGCGCCATCATCTAACAAGTGGTATCAGGAGCACCGATTCCTTTCGTGCTTCAAGTATAACTTAGTAGAAAATGGCTAACGAACCTAAAGGGACTTATAATAGAGCACCTGTTTTCAATGGAGAAAACTATAGTTATTGGAAAGACCATATGCGTGTGCATATAAATTCCATTGACAGGAAGGTATGAAAGGTTATTTTGAAC